AAATACTTGAGGGAGCAGATCACTAGCGTGGAGGTGACACTCCTATAACCATGGGATTTCGAATATATAAAAAAGGGATAATGAGAAGTAAATTATGTTTTATCATACCATTGAGCTGGCTCACTATTGCTCTAAATACAAATTTTAGTTACTGGAACTAACTCATCAATTGTGGCCAATCATACAGTGAGATGATAAAAGTCACTGTTAACCACTACTTTTACATCAAAAATTCCGTTGTTTACCTCAGAATAGTGATTTTAGGTGCTCTAATTATAAGATTTAAATTTCAAAGCGAGAGATGTAATATTACCTGACAATACGAGAATTCACTACTTTCAATACTTCCTGCTTTCCCTCTCCTTGGTCACTGCTCGTGCTGGGCAAGCACAGCAAGGCGATTGGCATAACGAGGGTAAGTATTTACTAACAGCGCGAGGTTTGAGCTCCAAATTGGTTACTCATATGATATCCGCCAATGTAGCTCGAGGATGTAAATCTGGCGGCGATACCAACCAAATGTCGAATACCACATCGACTTCATCCCCAAACATGGTGGAGGATTAAGTCCACTGACCCGCGACCGGAATCTGACTATACCCCGAGCAGCGTCGCTCCAGATACCTGTTTCGCCAGCATGTGAACTAGCGTACTGTGCCCACCCTAGTCCAAGAGAGAGCGAGCAAGGAAAGAAAGGACAGCTAAACAGCGGAACAGAAAATAAAAGAAAAGAAGTAATTAAAATCTGTTAAACTAGAAATAAAAGAGAAAGAAAGGCATAGTCAAACTCGATGCCTCCAAAGAACAGAAGATAAATCATGGTACTTGCAAGGCAGAGAAATCCAGCCACCTGATAATAGTGACATAAACAACTGCCATACCCATCCCTCTCAAGCCTCATCATGTCTCGCCAAATTGGGTTTGCGGCTACCGCAGCAATTCATGAAACGCTTGAGCCCATCCCAGGTGTTCGCAACAAAGGTGATAGCAGACCACCCGATCTGAGACCGTGGCATTGCAGCTGGAGAGTGACTGCGCTCCTGCCCCAAGATCTCAAATGAATATGTCAATCCCCCAAGGCGAACGGGCAAGAATCTGGACTCAAAAGTAATCTTGATAGCTTCCCTGTCACGGAAGAACATGGAGACATGGCCCCAAGGATGGACATACAAATCCACGAGCCTCGGAAAGAGCCTCATAATAGCGGCGACTTGATCTCTAGTAAATTCCATTCCGGGAATTATGGGAAAATTAAGAAGCTCTGGAGGGTTCTTCGGATCGTCGAGTGCAATGGCTTTAGTTCCCTGGTAATAGACGGGGCACAGGAATAGGTGGCTCGGCATGGGGTCGGAAACGCGGCGCACGCGAGAGAAGGTTCCAACCACCCAGTGCATGTGCAGGGGGCTAAAGTAGACAGCACGGTATTTTCTGAGTACGGGGTTCTCGTTTCGAAGCCTGTAGATGCGGTCGAAGAGGTCGTCGGGACAGCCAGGGATCGCCTCGAAGTTGGCGCGGGTGCGATCCATGTAACTGTCAATTGCGTCCGCATGCACTGCAAGCTCGTTAGTTTATGAAGCATATGGATACCGGAAGGCATCCAGATGAGGAAGCAGCGCTTACGAGGAATATGGTAGAGGGCACGATTAAATGGATATTGGAGCGGACGCTTCATGATTGGCAGCTTAGGAGATTTTTTTGCTGGAAATATTTCCGCAATGAAAGTAAGCCCATATTTCCTTCACCACATTTTAAATATTATAGGATATTTTACCAAAGATCTCTATGGGTATGTGTAACTGCAATCCCTATTAAAACAACGTCGGAATTTAGTCGAATTGATTTATAAAATGTCAAACATCCTACTGGGGGGAAAACTTACTCGAACTTCAGACTCGAGTCCTCCAACGCAAGTGGAGCACAGCCAATGAAGTTGGTGGAGTGGGCGCTAAGTAAATGATAGCAAGGAAGGCAGGAACGGGTAAGAGCGAAACGCTCCAAGAAAGGACGGAACTTCCCATTTAGCTCTAAAGTGCGCAGAGATGCGGGTAGAGGGGGGGTATGTAGGGCTTAGAATACAATTAGGAATGCGCTATAGCAGAAATTCCATATCAAGCCATCTTTTCGATGTGCGCCATAGGCCCGAGGAATTTGAATTGGTTCCCCATAGGCTTTATTTTGAAACTCTTAAGGTCAATCATCTGGCTAGAATTTCACGAACTCCGATTGTGCGGCGACGCGGTCACGGCCAATGATTATTTTGACTGGTTTTCAAATTAAGCGCCAAGTGATACGGCGGGGGGGGAAAGGGAATATATGGAGCGTGCTGAAGGGGAGAGGCAGGTCTATCGCTATATTGTATTAACCGGTGTTTGCCCCCCG